GACTTTTTCACAGAGTCTATAAGATACTGTGAATGAAGATCAGTGACTTTCTTCTTCAAGAAGTTATCACTCACACAGAGAAGGTATGATACTCATAATCAGAAGATGTTAGTAATTATTAAATTCTTTAAGATCTGATAATATTATCTTCAGAGTAGTAAGTACTCAGTACAAGTTCTCACTGATTATGCAAATCTGTGTTACTTCTTGATAATAAAGAGCTTGACAGAACATTAAGTCAGGTGAGTGAAGCTGCTTTCAGAGTATGATTTCTACATCTGATACTGTTCAGATCAGCTTAACTCTGTTAACACACTGTCTAAACAGTCTGATTATAATATCATTGATGCAGAGAAGAATTCTATAAAAGAATCTCTGTCATCACTGCAGAAGAAGCTGACTGCAGAGAGTTGAGATTCTCTAAAGCTTGAAAACAGCACTGAAGAGGCAGCTGTGTGACTCAGTATAGAAGATAAAAGAGAACTCAGATCTCTGCAGAGAACTGACACTGAAGATCATGAGCTTCTCATATCACATCTTGTAATTATTGAATTGACAAAGAATGAAATGATCTACAATCTTTCAATCTGACTACTTTTAAAATTCATTGAAGAGTTATAGAAGAAGAATGTCTCTACTGCAGCTTGAATTTAAAAGTTGAAGAAGAAAGAATTCAGTTTAAACTTGAAAGAGACAGACTCTGAGTGAGATGATACTGCTAAGAAATCAAGTTACTGATAATTAGAAGAATGTGAACTTCTACTACTGAATAATTCAGTCTTCATCTCTTATAGCAGAGTGATGTGTCAGAAGTTATTGAGAATTCATTATAATAATCTTCATACAGGACACTTCAGATTAGAGAAGACTGAGAAGCTTTTAAAATGTAAATATACTTAGAACAAGCTTTGAGCAGATGTCAAAGAGTATGTTAAGACTTGCAATATCTGTTAAAGAATAAAGATTTCATAATATAAGTAATACAGTGAGTTGACATCACTGCCTGTTTCAAAGAGCTTATAACAGAATCTATCAATGAATTTCATAGTTAATCTGCTGAAGTCAACAAGAGTCAAAGAATATAACTTGATTTTGATCATTGTTGACTGCTTTATAAAGATAACTAGATATATTTCTACTTATAAAAAGATTAAAGCTTCTGAATTGACTGACCTGTTTTTAGATATCATCATTTATAATCATGATACTCTGAAATTGTTGATAACAGATTAAGAATCTCTCTTTATCAGCAAGTACTGATCAGCTTTTTACTATTATCTTATAATAAAATGTCTTCTCAGTACTGCTTTTCATTCACAGATCAATGATCAGACTGAACATCAGAATCAGACACTAGAATAGCATCTTTAAGTGTTCTATTCATATTATCAGAATGATTGACTTAAATATCTTCTAATCATCAAATTTATATATAATAATGCAAAGAATGCAATCTTAAAGATATCTTCTTTCTATACTTATTATGAATATAATTCTTTATTACTCAGTGATGTTGTGAATAATGTTTTAAAGAGAGAAATAGACAGTCAGAATGTTGAACAGATACAGAAAATGAAGTATTTCTCAGTGTCAGAAGTAAAAGTGAGATTGAAACTTTTGAATAAAATTTATGAGAAGATGATGAAAAGCATTCACTGTGCTCAGAAGTGATAGATAAAATACTATAATTAAAAACATCTTCTAATGAAGTTCTTGATAGAGAATTAAGTGCTACTTTCAGCAAAGAATATCAAGACAATAAGACTGTGTAAGAAGCTCAGTGAGTAGTAGCTAGAATCTTTCTCAGTAACAAGAGTGATAAGTAAGCAGATATATAAGTTAAAATTACTCACAGAATTGAAATCAATTCATTCTGTTTTTCACATTTTCTATTTAAAGCTCTATAAGCAATACTCTGAGACAGAGCTGTCTCAGCTGAATGATATCAAGATCAAGAGTGATACTGAATATCTTATGAAGAAAATATTGAATAAGTGAATATATTACAGCAAGCTTCAATATCTCATTAAATAAGAAGATTATTCATCATCAGAGAATTTATGAAAATCACTTGAGTATTTGAAAAATACTGAGAAAGAGATTGCAATCTATGAGACAGCTAGTAGAGACTGTCTCATTACACATCAGAGACATTGAGTAAGAAATACTGCTTGAGACTTCTTCTTTTTCTCAAAGAGTTTTTTTAGAGATGATTTCATGATGATGAGCCAGTATCTTATAGACTCTGTAGCACTCTTCTTTTATTTTCTCTCAAAGAGTTTTTAGAAGTTTAATGAGACTACACAAGTGTAAAATTCCTGAAGTGATTAGAGAAAAGAGATATTAAAAATTAATAAAAAGATTAATATTATCAATCTGCAGACTGCTGCTATTTTAATAGAACTGCAGCCTGCTGAAAAAGTAAAAAGAGAGATTAGAGCTTACTTATCAATAATTACATTCTCATCAAACTCATTCTTCACTGTTGAAGTCTTCAGTATTGATATCTTTGTCTGCTGAGAAGTTAGCACTGCAGCACTGTAGAGAAGCATGCTATAGAAGAGTATAAGAAATGTATGAAATATTAACTTATTAACTTATAAAGTATCTCAGTCATCTGCTTCAATTGAAGTAAGATTCTCTTCAATCAGTAATTAATCTCTGTAGTACTTTCAGTGATAATACTGACTGATCTCTTCTTAAGATCAGTCATTCTGAGATGTTTTTTTATCTTGAAGACTCATACTTTCATCTTCTTTTACAGATAAGTAAGAGACATCTCTTCAGTCTTAATGAAATTTATTAACACTTGAAGCTCTGAGACTCTTACTCTGTACTGCTTAAGTATCTAGACTTCTTATCAAAACTGACATGATATCTTTCTGTGAGATAATACTTATAGAGAGATAGAAGTTGTTGTTACAGATACAACAGAAATAATAAGAGTGAGAGAAGAAATAAGTATATAAAATCCCTCTCTTCTTCAGCTGCTTGATACAGTGCAGATAAGTAGTAATACTGATCAGAGACTGTATCAGAGTCTTCTCACAGAAAGAAGATAAAGAAATCACAGAACTCTGTGAACTCAACTCAGCAGTATTCTGAGCAGAGCTCAGACATGCTGTGAAAGAGAAACTACAGATTGAGCTTCTCAGAGTCACTATCTCTGAAATCAAGCTCTCTCTGAGTTTCTCTCTGAATGATCACACAGAGTCATATATCACTGTATTGACTGAGAGAGAGAGCGGCGTTGCAATGATGATGAGAGAGGCAGGGAATGAACTGAATGCAGATGTATCAACTGGCAGAACTACTGCAGCTGCAAGAGAAGCAGAAGAAGATGTAGCAATGAGAGCAGAGCTTCTGCGGCTCATTGACACTGTCTCTGCCTTTAACCTGACTTTCTTTACAGTCATGAAGGCTGCAGCTGCATTACAAAGACATTTACTCACTAGAAAACATCAGAATAAGTTCTCTATTGTTCTTCAAGAATGATACTCTCATACACTCACTATTGCAATTGAGAGAAGGGAAAGAAAAATATTTCACAGAGAGAGAGAAATCTTTTGAAAAATCCTGCTACTACTGTTAGCTTTGTCTCTAAAATACATTACTTTTGCAGAGAATTTCATATATAGAACAGTATATAATGAGAGATCTGCAAGTCACTTATTAACTATGTTTTTCACATTTTAAATTGATATATAAGAAACTCACTTATCACATGTTTGATTTGAATAATGATAAGAAAAGAAAGATCTACACAGTCAGCAGAAAAACTCATCTATTTCTTTATATCACACACAGTATATGCACTGTTAATCAGTTGACAACTGTTACTATACAATAAAGATAATTTCTAATCTGATAATCTTGAGAGCATAGAAACTATGCTCTTAAAGAGAAGAATATTATCATGCTTCTGACTGTGCTAAAACTCTGTTGTAATTCTATACAGCTTATCACTTTCATACAGATGATTTCATCTTGTCTGAACTGATTTTCAATCACTCTATAATATCATTCAGATATATTATAGAAAGATCTGATTAATAAATATAAGAATCTCACTTCTATACAAGATCAGCAGATTACTTTTTCTTGATAATAAGACACTGCTGAGATATTACTTTGACTATTCTTACTTATAAAATGAAAGAAGAGTATTCACTTATTATCTATATAGAATAGCTAGATGCTGACTCTTTATTAAAGAAGTCAGTGATTTGTTTTACTGCTACTGAAATATATATAAGAGTTACTGCATGTCTCATACAATCTTCTTAGTATACTAAGTATCATATCTGTGATATTCTTGCAATAACTCTGTAGTCTACAAGCTCACTATTCAAGCAAGATAGTCAAGCTCACTTATACAGCTTTTCAAACAACTACTTCTACATGTCACTGCTGACTAGTCATCACTTCGGTTCTGTCATGTTACACATATCTCAAGTTCTTAGAATAGAAGTATCATCTCAAAGTTGACTAGTGTGTTTTTGAACACAGGAATTTTGATTCAATTTCTCATACAAAAAAAAGCTCTTAGAAATTCTGAGATCAAAAAATATGATCATTTTCAAGAGTATACATCTATCTTAAATATAGATTTTTTTGAAATATTAAAGAAATATTTCTATTCTTCTTCTCTTTAGCTATAAGCTAAGGTGATTTTCAAATCTCAAAGATATGTGGGTATATAGTAATAGAAAGTCAAAGTTAAAGAATCTGAAAAATCCTTGTAAATCTCAGGAATCTCCATTGAAGATGAAACCATTTCTTCTCAGACCCTCTAGCGAGGATTGCTCTGAGCACATGACTTGTATCAAAAGTAGGTTAGTGTCATGCCGGATTAGTCTGCAACCTGTTCAAACCGAGCCAGAGGTCTGAGCCCGCTGAGATAAATGTGGATATCCCGCTGTGTGTATGGCCACGTGATCTCCCGCCACAGTGGACGCTGCCCGCCCATTAAGGCAAAAACCACGCCAACCACGCGCGTCTTTTCCCCAGCTCTCGAGGAACGCGTCTTGCTTTCAAAGCAAATTCTTCCTCCCCACCACCGCTACCTTCTGCTGCCACTTCGACTTCATCTTCCTCTTCCTCTTCCATTCTACATTCTCCATCCTCATTCCTCAATTTCCGTCTCATCCCCCCTTTCTATATCCGTTTCATATCTATCTTCCTTGCCGTTTGCCATTTTGTAGAAGAGCTTTACCAACAACGTGGAAACAATTTAGCAGAGGGGGAACTTCAAGATGTTTGTTTACAAGAGAGGTGAGTTCCTGTGGTCTTCCTCTCCTATTGAGCTATATTTTCCTTACAGACATCGGCCTGTCATCTTGATGGCGTTTTTGTGAGAATGCGAACTGAGGCTCAAGCTGACATTGATGTAAACTTTAGATGGACGCAAGGAGCGTGTGCAGTTCGACAAGATCACAGCTCGTGTATCCAGACTCTGCTATGGCCTGGATCCAGAGCATGTCGATGCTGCAGCTATCACCCAGAAGGTCATTTCCGGTGTTTACCAAGGTGTGACCACTGTGGAGCTGGACAACTTGGTACGAACCTCCCCCCTCCCCCCTCCTCCCCTCCCCCCTCCCCTCCCCCAGACCCAATTGCTTCTATCCCAAAGGATACTGTCTGACTGTGTCTTGTTCATATATGTATAGGCAGCTGAAACTGCGGCGTATATGACCGTCACCCATCCCGACTATGCCATCCTAGCTGCCCGGATAGCTGTATCCAACCTCCATAAGCAAACGAAGAAACAGTTTTCTTCAGTGATAGATGACCTGTACCATTACCACAACCCGAAAAACCAACGGCCTGCCCCGATGATATCGCAGGGCACGTACGAAACAGTGATGCGTCATGCAGATGAATTTAACTCCGCCATTGTCTATGATCGTGATTTCAACTACCAATACTTCGGATTTAAGACTCTGGAGCGGTCTTATCTACTTCGAATCAATGGCAAAGTTGCTGAACGACCACAACACATGATCATGCGTGTTGCTGTCGGAATTCACGGTGATGATGTAGAAAAAGTCATCGAGACCTATAATCTCATGTCCCAGAAATTTTTCACGCACGCTTCTCCCACACTCTTCAATGCTGGTACCCCCCAACCTCAGATGGCTTCTTGCTTCCTCATCGATATGAAGGAAGACAGTATTGAGGGCATTTACGACACGTTGAAAACTTGTGCTTTGATTTCGAAGACTGCTGGTGGTATTGGTCTCAACATTCACCGTATTCGGGGCACTGGCTCTTACATTGCAGGGACGAATGGTTCCTCAAATGGAATTGTTCCCATGCTCCGCGTTTTCAACAATACCGCTAGATATGTCGATCAGGGAGGTAACAAGCGACCAGGAGCCTTCGCCATTTATCTCGAGCCGTGGCACACCGATATCTTTGAGTTCTTGGACCTTCGTAAGAACCATGGCAAGGAAGAGGTTCGCGCTCGCGATCTCTTCCTTGCTCTCTGGACGCCCGATCTGTTCATGAAGCGTGTTGAGAAGAATGGCGAGTGGACTCTCTTCTGCCCCAATGAAGCACCAGGCTTGGCAGATGTATATGGTGAAGAATTTGATGCTCTTTACGAAAAGTAGGTTTACTGCTCCCCGAAACCAAAACAACTATATAAGGACGACTAATCTGACTCTTTGTATAGGTACGAAAAGGAAGGCAGAGGCAAGAAAACAATCAAAGCGCAGAAGCTTTGGTATGCTATTCTTGAAGCTCAGACTGAGACCGGTAACCCGTTTATGCTTTACAAAGACGCGTGCAACAAGAAGAGCAACCAAAAGAACCTAGGCACAATCAGAAGCTCTAACCTGTGCACTGAGATCATTGAATATTGCTCGCCAGATGAAGTAGCGGTTTGCAACTTGGCGTCTATTGCTTTGCCGACTTTCGTGGATCCTGTCAGGGGAGAGTATGATTTCGGCAAGCTCCACGAAGTAACTCAAGTTGTCGTTCGAAACCTTAATAAAATCATCGATGGGAACTACTATCCAGTCGAGGAAGCGAAGCGAAGCAACTTCCGGCACCGTCCTATTGCTTGCGGTGTACAGGGTCTTGCTGATGCTTTCCTTGCTCTGCGACTTCCATTCGAATCCCCTGAAGCTAAACAGCTGAACATTCAAATTTTCGAAACAATTTACCACGCAAGTTTGACTGCGTCCTGTGAGCTGGCCAAGATCGACGGGCCATATTCCACCTATGAAGGGTCCCCAGTCTCTCAGGGTATCCTCCAGTATGATATGTGGAATGTCACTCCCACCGACCTCTGGGATTGGGACTCGCTAAAACAGGATATTGCTAAGCATGGAGTGCGCAACAGCTTGCTTGTTGCGCCCATGCCTACTGCCAGCACCAGTCAGATTCTTGGGTTCAACGAATGCTTTGAACCCTACACCTCTAATATCTACTCGCGCCGTGTTCTAGCGGGTGAATTCCAGATTGTCAACCCTTGGCTCCTGAAGGACCTCGTGGACATGGGGCTCTGGTCCGACAACATGAAAAATCGTATCATTGCGGATGGAGGCTCGATTCAGAACATTCCCAACATCCCGCAGGATATCAAAGCACTATATAAGACTGTCTGGGAAATATCCCAGCGAACTATTGTCCAGATGGCTGCTGATCGAGGTGCATTCATCGACCAATCCCAGTCGCTCAATATCCATTTGAAGGAGCCCACTATGGGTAAGATTACCAGCATGCATTTCACTGGCTGGAAACTTGGCTTGAAGACCGGAATGTACTATCTCCGTACAATGGCTGCTTCAGCTCCAATTCAATTCACCGTGGACCAAGAACAGCTCAAAGTTGCAGACACCAACGTTGCGCGTGTCAATGGTGCGATGAAGAAGCGTGGTGGCGTTTCGTCCAGTTATACTAGTGCCTACTCCTCTGTTCCTCGACCCATGTACGATCAAATACAGACCAATGACCAGACGTCATCCATGTCTAAAGGAAACACCATGGCTGCTGACCTGAGCTCGAAAACTATTTCCCCGGAGCCCACTGTTTCCCAGCAGAGTGGTGAGTTGACGTCATCGCAAAATACCAAGGCCAAGGCCAACGGATCTGGTGATTCGACGAATGGAGAGGTTGGCGGTGATGAAGAGACCGAAGGGGATATATATTCGCAGGAAGTTATTGCTTGTGAGTAATATTTGGCTTTTTAGTTCTCTGCTTTTGGTGTGTCGGTTTATGGGCTTCCCTTCACGCCTCGGCTTGTTGGTTTTGTCCCAATGTGATTGTTGCTAACGAAGCTATAACCCACTTTCAGGCAGTATTGAGAATCCCGAGTCCTGCGTGATGTGCAGTGGTTAAACGAGGTGCATATGCTCTACTATTGTCATGTCACGCACAATATCAGAATCAAACGACCACACACGACCGATCGATGTATGGACTACGTGCCTATAAGACTACCTATCGCATCAACTACCACCCGGTATATTGATCGATTGACCAATATTCCTTTTCCTTTATTCTATTTTTAATCATGTCGTCATCTGCCCTGGCCTAATTCCCCTTTTATTTTATTTTATATTTTTTTATTTCCTACGCCACATCGTCACTGTAATGATAGTTATTCATGGATATGTATGAGCTCTAATGCTATTATTGTCTTTCTTCATTGTCTGTCTGCGCTTCTGGTTTTGGTTTTGCTTGTGCTTTCTGCTATGCATTTATCAGTTCGTAACCCTCACCCACCCCCCTTAACGTGGCATCGTTATCCCACATCTTCTATACGAAACCTACCCTTGTTTTGCCATTTATATAACTATTACATTGCAGCTCTGTCCGGTTTTTATCTCTTTCTATCTTTTCTCGCCGTTTTGCTTTTCTCGCTTATGTGTTCAATGTGAAAATAGAAACTAGTACCCCGCGAATTTATGTTTTTAACAAATACGATCTTCCCTCCGAGCTTCCTTCTTTGTGTTTTCTTGTCTTTTCTTTTCTTTTCTATTTTTGTTTTATTCACATCGCCCTCGTACCTTTTCCCTTCCCTTCCCTCTCAGTTGGGAAATGAAAGTGACAAGAAATGAGCTATGAAAAGCATGCTCTACTTATTATTATTATAAGTCCGGACACGGACGTTTTAGTTGCCCAAGTAGGTTCTGACGTTTAATAATATTCCTCTCATACATAGGCTGTATGTATTACACACAGCTTACCGTACGCACAGTATAGAATACAATCCGGGCGGATATGCATAGCATAATCTTTTACTAATCCACCTCACCCTCCAGTTAGTTTGATTTATCTTATTGATAGAAACGAAGCAGCAAACTACCTATGTAGTACTCCGCACATATATGTACAGTACGTACCGTAGATACGTACATACCTATGAATAAACAAAAAACCGATCCACAGGGCAGAAATATACTCTACCAAGCCCATCATCTATTCAAACTTTCATCCAAACTAGGAGACGAAATAGGGAAGAAAAGGAGCAACCTAAGAAAAGGGGAAAAAAAAGAAAAAGAATGCAAAAGACGAGAAAAAGAGGGGGAGCGACAGAAGATAAATGTTTTTGTTACAAAGTATAGGGAACAAAGACAAAACGTAGGTGGAAAGCCGGTATGTCTGTCTATACATCATCGTCGTCGTCGTCGTCGTCGCTATCTTCTTCCTCGATATCATCGTCACCATCGTAATCGTCATTGGTATTGATATTATCACCACCCTCGCTAGCAACCATCGACGGCGTCTGAACAGAGGCTAGCTATCAGCATGGAGCTTTATCGCAATAATGACGGGCATCTATCTAACCTGCACAAAAGGGGTAAAAGCAGGGGAGAGCGAAAAAAAAAAAAAAAGAAAAAAGAAAAAGAAAAAGAAAAAGAGTAACCCCTTAAAAATGATATCCACATACCTGTGTCATTTTATCCATCATGACTCTAGGCAGCCTGACAACGGATGGAGGAGGCGCATACCGCTCAGTACATGGTATCCCCATTAACCGACAGTACTCTATCAGATCGCGGATTTTCCTCTCAACAAATACTTCCCGGTCTCGTATATAGTAGTCACGGTCTGCAGCGACCGCTGCCAACCACATTACGCGCTCGTCCCTAGAGACCACCCTGCCCCAGCAAAAATTGTCAAGAATGCTCCAGTATACGTCGTCCAGTATGGCACCCATGCGACACGCGAGCACGAACCAGGCTCCACGGTTCAGAAAGGAGTTCACCATCTTCGACGACAGCGAGCCAGGCCCTTGCATGCCGCTTTCGATCTCGCGTAGTTTCAGTTGGTCTACGAAAATAGCAAACTGGCGAGTGTACACCTCTCTGAATCGGCTCATGCCGAACCTCTGTATAATTGTATCTGGCGGTAAAGCCGTCAGCCACCATGGGCAGCTGTATGCAAATTGCGAGGGCGCCGCGTAGGTAAAACCCCAGTCTGTAATCCCGGTGATTTCAAAATTTTCGTCCACAAGCACGTTGGAAAGACTGAAGTCGTCAGAAAATAGTCTGAAGGGTGCCTCGTTGTCTACGTCCCTACTGATAAAGGAGCTCGCCACGAGGGCCATCGCGCCCCGGACAGTAAATTTTTCCCTTGCGTCTGTTGAGTTTCTGACACTGTTCTTCTGGAGCACGACATGGGACCACTGCATTCCAAGGAGGGCCTTGAAATACTCATGGGAGCGCGAGTATGTCTGCTGGGGGAGCGCAGTTTTCTTCAACCCGTACCTCCTCACCAGCTCATTCATATAAAGAGTTAGGGGCGGGTACCGAACTTCATAACCACCCAACGCGCCCGCGCGCGCGCCCACGCCCTCATATACACCGACCGCGCCAATCTTCTCAAACTCCTTCGTCCAGAGCTGCAGCAGGAACCCGGCAATCTGGCCATAGACGCGTTTCATGATCCGCTCGCCCTCCGGCACAAGGACAAAGCCATCGGGCGCAAGCAAATTCCGCTCCCGAAGGACCTTCACGAGACTCCTCCCCTTGATCCAATTTGTAATGATAAACGGCCCAAGGCCCGTCGGATTGTCTGCTGCCGTTCCTACCTTGTACACCCTAGGGATAGGCACGGTGGTATGAGTGTCAAGATAGTTTAGCATGGCGACTTCGTTCCGTAGCTTTTCCCTCATGAACACTGAGTTCTCGGGGATAGGGATGCGGATCGCCCAGTCACTCGCGTCGGAGGCCTGCCACCGTAGCCGCAGAATTACATTGTGACCGCTTCGGCAGCGGGAGATGGCGGTACATCTTCCAAAGCCGCGGACGGATTCGACGAATCGGCATAGGTCCTCTGTCCGTTCGACGAGGAATCTTTCGGTCCAACTGTCTCTGTGGGTTTTGGCTGCTGATAGAGAAGGCCAATGCGGCTCCATTGGTTATAAAATGAGGGGTAGGTGTTTATTTGTTTTCTTCGAAGATCTTCCCGCTTCTTGGAGAGAAAAAAAAAAAAAAGAGTAAAACAAAAAAGAAAAGGAGATAGTTAAATGATGTAGACTTCATAACTTGCCATACTCAGGGCGTGCCAGATAGCACCCAAGGAAAAACACTGGGTATAGAGAAGGAGCATCCATATCAAGGTAAAAAAAAAACCGTCTGATAAACAAATGAAAGTAAATAGTTGAGGGAAAGAAAAACCCCTGAGAATAAAAACCAGCATCTGTGAAAGTAAATAGATATACACACACATATACACACATATCATGTGTATCATGCATATCTGAGATCATTTAGATAGTCATGAAAACATGAACTCTGTGAGAAGGAAAAAAAAGAATTCCTGGATATCAATATGTCAAAACATCTGTTTACTCATATTTATATTCTCACAAAATAAAAAGAGCACAGACAATAATATTTCTGTGTTGATTGATGAATATATATATATATACATATATATATATAAAAAGTCTGTGAGTGTTTTTATATTTATTCAATATACTGTACTCACACTGTGATACTGATGAAAATCTGATGTGACACTTGTAGTAGTCTTTTCACTAGAAGAAAGAGAAAAAGAGAAAGAGAAAGATAAGATAGTGAGAGATTCTGATCATGCATGAGATAAGTTATATATTATCATAACTAGTTTATCTCTTCTCTCTATTTATTTTAGAAAAACCAACTTTTCCATGCGAAAAACACACTGTAATATAACATCATATATACATCTCATTAAAAATATTTGAATGCTCTGACTTATACAGCTCAGATCAATCTTCAAATATTTTTTTTTTTTTTTTTTTTTTTTTTTTCCATTCTGCTATTTTTATACATTTTCTACAGTATTTACATTTCTTATACTATTCTCTCTGTTCATTTTTGATCTCTGTGTTTATAGCATGTGCTGCTAAATGCTCTGTAACATGATCTCATGTGATGTCATATGCACTCTTTTGAATTCATGGATGGGATTGAACAGCCGGCTCTGCGGCCTGTACGGCTCTGATTAATCTGATAATGATGATAGAGTTGATACGGGGTCGAAGGGGTGGTAAGAGAGAGGTAGAGGTACAGGATGGAAGTGGTAAAGGGGGCTGCGCAAGCAGCAAAGCGAGCGTCCGCGAGCATTTGATGCTTGTTACTTATTGAAGAGAAAGGTAAAAAATTAAAAAAAGGTATTAAAATGCTTCTTACGCTCGCTTTGCTGCTTGCGCAGCCCCCTTTACCACTTTCACCCTGTACCTCTACCTCCCTCTTACCACCCCTACCCTACCACCCCTTCCACCCCTTACCTCCTCTACCACCACCACCGCCCCTACCACCCCACAGCTCCCCCTACCACTTCCACCCCCTACCTCTATCTCTACCCCCTTACCACCCCTTCCACCCCTGTCCCCTCTACCACCACCACCGCCTCTACCGCCCCGCAACCCCCCCCTACCATTTCCACCCTCTACCTCTATCCTCCCTCTACCGCCCTGCAACCCCCCCCTATCACTTCCACCCTCTACCTCTACCCACCCTTACCACCTCTTTCACCCCTTTCACTCTTTACCCTCTCTACCACCACCATCACCTCTACTTCTTCTTCTACTACTCTCTTTCACTCTGTATCATCTCTATCATCATTATCAGATTAATCAGAGCTGTACAGACTGCAGAGTCAGCTATTCAATTTCATTCATGAATTCAAAAAAATGCATATGACATCACATGAGATTTTTATTACAGAATACTTAGCAGTATATACTATAAATACAGAGATCAAAATGTGATAGAGATAGTAAGAGAGAAGTAGAGATAGTGAAAGTAATAGAAGAGACTGCAGAGCAGTAGAGATAGTGATAATGATAGAGAGAAGTGATAGAGATGGTAGAAATGAGAGAGATGATAGAGATGATAAGAGAGGGATAGAATGATAAGATGAGAGTAGAGATAGAGAGTGAAAGTGATAGAGAGTGCTGTGAGGCGGTAGAGGCAGTGATGATGATAGAGAGAATAGAGGTGGTAGAGATGATAGAAGTGATAAAGAGAGGGTCAGAGTCAAAGAGGTGATAGATAGTAGAAGCAATTGCTAGAACAATGCCACTGTTCATAAATTTTTGATGAGGTGCATGTGATGTCATGTTACAGTGTTTTTTGCACGGAAAAGTTGGTTTTTCTTTAATATATAGAGAGACATAAAAACTTTCATTGATTGTAGAGATAAAACAATAACATGACTAGTTAGTTATAAATAATATAAATATTCAGTCTGAATGTTGAGAATAATATAATAAGAGCCTGTTCAGTGCATCTGTGTGTACTTGTTCTTTTTGTACAGATCTTCACTTTTTTTAAAAAGTACAGCCTTAATATCATGACTGTAACAGACTGTTCAGTGAGCAGAGTGTCTGTACTAGACTGGCCACCGGGACCATGAATTTCACATTTGATCCCATTTGATCTGGTCTCATACATTTCTTGGTGTGAATCCCGCTGGGACTAATCATTAAATAAACATGCAAAGTGACTATATATCAGATCTCAAAATGAAATCATGACTTGAAAAAAATGAGAAAGTGGTCTCATTTGATCTCATTTAGTCTCATTCTTAGCATAAAGTTACTATTTTTAGACATTTTAAGGTTTTTTTTAGACTATTTTTAATTTTTTAAAAAGTAATGCTTTTTGATAATGCTCAAATGAGATTTAAAGCCATTTAAAGCAATAAAAATAATTTAAATTGAGAAGTGAAAATCATGATCTCATTTGAAAAATGTGACAAGAGTAGACAGTAAGTCTCACTGAGACAGTATGAGACTACTATCTAATGTTAGAATCATGTAATGAAATCTGTTGAATTGATAATAAAACTATCAAAAATTCTGATCCTGGTTTCAGACACAGTTACACGGTCAGTCTAGTCTGTACTAATAATACAGCTGCTTTTTACAAAGTACAGATGAAAATGATCAGATGTTCAGTGAATTGAGCAGCTGTACTTATATCTCTTATCAAGATCTTATGTAGACTGGCCGCTGAGATCATGAATTTCATGTTTGATTTCATTTGATCTGATCTCATACATTTCTTGACATGAATCTCACTGAGACTAATTATTAAATAAACATGCAAAGTGACTATATATCAGATCTCAAAATGAAACCATGACTTGAAAAAAATAAGAAAGTGATCTCATTTAATTTCATTTAGTTCTATTCTTAGCATAAAGTTACTATTTTTAGACATTTTAAGATTTTATTTAGACTATTTTTAATTTTTTAAAAAGTAATGCTTTTTAATAACACTTAAATGAGATTTAAAGCCATTTAAATCAATAAAAATAATTTAAATTGAGAAGTGGAAATCATGATCTCATTTGAAAAATGTGATAAGAGTAGACAGTAAGTCTCACTGAGACAGTATGAAACTACTATCTAATGTTAGAACTGTGTAATGAGATCTGTCAAATTGACAATGAGACTATCAAAAATTCTGGTCCTGATCTCAGACACGGTCACACGGTCAGTCTAATCTTATGAATAAACAGTATTTAACTTCAACAGTGTGTGATAATGTAGAATAGCACTTTTAGAGATAATATAGTGTAGAATAGTGTTCATAGTGAAGATAGTTAACTAATATTAATTAGAAGAAAGCTTATAAAAACATATTCTTTTTGAACTGACTCTGAACTTCATTTAAAAAGAATGTGTTTTTATAAGCTTTCTTTCTCCATTTCAGAGCAGTGAGTAAGATGAAATAGTGTGATGACACAACACTAGCTTGCTACTAATAATTGATAAATACACTATTTTTAATGAGATTCATTATTGCATTCAAAAAGTACAGATGCACCGAACAGGCTCTAAGTATCTTGACATATATATCTTTCTCAAATTATTCTCTTATCTGAGAACAGAACTAGGCCACAATTAGTGGTATTTTTCTGCCACCTTCATTTATGACTGCTTGCTTATTGGCTGAAAGCTGCTAATTTAGCTTGCCTGTTGATCATATCAAGGCAGTGAGACACAAATGCTAATTGTGATTTAGTTCTCAGAGTCAAGTATAGTTCTGCTTCTCAAGATGAATTCATGAACACTTCTATATAACTATTTTCATTTTAATTAATTACTTTGAATAATATAGTTATCTATAATCTATCTATAAAAATAATAAATCTAAATCATACCTTCACTAGTAAATATATTTATTTTTTCAGTGAGTGGGATTCTCAAATAAAATCACAAAGTGCAAAGTCGCAGAGAAAGAGAGACTGAGTTGAGCACCTCAATGAGCAATTGTTTTTTTATTTTTATTTCTATAAACAAGACATGTAGATAAAAGTCTCATCTTGACAGAAACACCATGTCACTGACTGAACTTGGGAGGACACTAGAACTATCATCCACCCACCCACTATTCCTGGGACATCATGGATGGATGGATGGCGTTGCAGTTACAGTGTTGGCCCGCCTGCTGCCCTTCTCTCTTCCAACGTTCAGGCCAGCCCACAAGAGGAAGAAGAAAAGAGCGAGTAGTAACATAAAATCAAGGTAAAAGGAACAAAAGCAATTTTCTAATAGCTCGACCCATCGACTGATATTTTGCAGTACCTCCTTCAATAGATAGGCCAGACGGATACGTCGACATAATCTTCTCCAGTTGCATGAAGGACTTTTCTGTTAATCTCGTCTAACTTCTCCTTCTCCTTCTCTTTTCCCGTGCGGGTGTTTACCTCTGACCCCCACTCAACCCGACCTTAGAGCAGACGATGTATATTTCGTACACAGGAGGTAGGTAGGCATCTGCCTGGATGGGACACGTTTTCGCTTGAAAACTAAGTGAACCACCATTCAACACCAAGACGGCCCTGATCCTCATCTCCACTGTGAATGAAAGGTTAGTTCATACTTGTATAATAATATGACCGGGGGGGAGCGTTTGAAAACTCACAATCTCCTGAAGAGAGATCTCGTCGCATCAAGATCACCGTTACCCTGTATTTTTAAAACGGCAAAATTAGCGTTCAATGCAATCTTGTGATTTTCTCTTAAAAGAGTGAGACAGAGATTTGGAAAGGAGTGGGGAAGGAACTTACGCAGCCCCCGCACTTGTCTTTCACGGTGGCGTTGTGAGTTTTACCGTCGAATCGGATAGTCACCACCATACCGCAGAGGGGGTTGTCGTTACTGCGTGGCCCCGACAACCCAGCTCCCAAGGCAACCACGTCTTCTCCGTCGGTCTCAATGTCGAAGCCACAGGAACCCAATCCACCGTCATAAAAAGTCATGTCTCCCGTGCAAGGGCTGTGTTCGGTGCAGATCCCACCGGGCGGCGGTGGAAACGTCGGCGGAGGGGGTGGAGTTGCTGGTGGAGGAGGCGAAGGGGGAGGAACTGCTGGTGGAGGGGGAGGGGGAGGAATTGCTGGAGGTGGAGGTGGAGGGGGAGGAATTGCTGGAGGTGGAGGTGGAGGGGGTTCTGGGGCCTTAGTAGTTATCGGGGCGGGAGGTGATGGCGGTGATGATGTGACTGGGGACAATTGGTGGAACTGTGCGGGAATAGGGGCTGGCTCGCTGGGTGTCGGAGGAGCAGATGAAGTAGACACGTGAGTCTGGTTCCCCTGGGTCAAGACAGGAGGGAGGATCGTCTGGGGCTCTCCTGGTACACCATCCACGGTGGTGGTGACCACAACCGTCGTTAAGACGTGCTGGGTCACAGTCTCCCAAACCACGAGATGCTTCACGGGAGCCGCGATCGAGACAGAGGCCAACAGGCCAGCCGCAACAGTCAAAGACTTTAGGATATCGGGAGCCATTTTTGCTTCTGAAAATGAAGCAAATCGCCCCTCGAACAAAAAGGGAAAAAAGAAAAAAAAAAGAAAAAAAAAGGGAGTGCGCTATCAAAGCGGAGGAAAGGTAATAGACCGTTGTCGTTCTTGGTCGCGTGCTGGCAGCGTTCCTTTGCGACAGCGATGGGGCTATCGAGTTTGGAAGTTCGACTGACAAGAGAACTAGCTCTGGATCGTATGGTACGAACGAGATGCCAAAAAACCCCCCCAAAAAAAAGGGTAGATATGTACGAATCAATATTCGAGTGGGATATATATGCCGTTTGTATGTTCAGAGTAGTGTTGAATGTATTTCTCAATGAACGGAATTCAATCGAGCCAGGCGATTCAGGAGCAGTAGCAGCGCACTGCAGATAGATAGACAGGGTGGATGTATCGTGAAAAGGGGCTGCTCTGCAGTCTTTTTTCAGAGTGAGGGGGAAAAAAAAAATGCACCGCGAGAGCTGGAGGCTATCTCCTTAGAAAGCTAGGTGAAGGAGTGAATGGATCGGAAACAAGTGTTGAACACGGTGTTGATGTCGATGTTCGAAGGATAACGGACCAGGACAGGTTGGCAAAGCGCGATGTATCCCAACGGAATGCTGCAAGGTAACCCCGGGATTCGTCGATCGACACAAGGAATGAATGTCGAGGACTGGTCTGGAGGGGAGGGGAGGGAGGGGAGATAAGTGGCTTAAATACATGAAAGGAAGGACATGAGAAGGATATATTCTCAGAAGAGCGGGAGGCGAGGGAGAGTATAAAGGGTGAAAGAAAGACAAGAGAAGAGAAGAGAAGAGTGAGTGAGATGTGGAGAAGTGGAGATAGGAGGAGAAGCAAAAAAGAGAGCAAGAAAGGAAGAAAGGAAGAAAGGAAGAGAGGAAGCGAGGAAGAAGATTGATGACAGAGAAGGACCGCCCTGGCCTAGGCCCCGGTTCTAGGCCCGCACGCTAGGCCTAGGGGCCAGTTAGTGGGGAATTTAGCGGGGCGAGTTAGGGGCGAGTTCCGAGTTCGGGAGGGCTTATTGTTATTAAAAGGGATTAATTAGGGAGGGAGTTAGGTTAGGTTAGGTTAGGGTAGTTAATAAGACTGGGGCGGTGGGACGTGGCTGCGGTGCTTGTCTGACTTCGATTTCCACCGCCAGCTGGGCCAGCCAATCGCGGAGGGTTGGACACCTCATTCATTCCGCCGTCATCATCAGCCATCAATCACATCACCAGCCATCAATCAACCTGAGATGAGAAGACAGGAATATGTATGGAGTATACAACCCTGGAACACCTGGGAGCTTTGGATTCGTGGATTCGTGTTTTCGCGGTTTTTATTTTTAACTTAGTTAAGTGGTGTGGTATACTATAACTACTACTATATCATCATTTTATGGATACAAACCACCGGGATAATACGGGAACTCGAGAGAGGGAAAATTCTTGGTTAGGCGCTTTTTTGCCATATCCAGTTCACTCTTGAAACAATTCGTTCCTTTGAACAAAGGAAAGGAAAAAGGGGAAAAAAGAAAACCTCCTCCTGTCTGGCCTTGCTCGACGTGGCAACAACGGTGGTGGGTGGGTGGCAGCAGCCGGGGCGGCAGCAAACGGCATCGATGTTGATTTGTTGATTTTGTTGCCTTTGCCTTTATATATAACTATACTCTTGCTCCCCATTGGCTGGTTCCCCTGGCTGGTCTCCTTTTTGGGGTCTGTTTCCGCGACATGATTGGATGGGAACCAGGAACAAGGAACAAAACCAGGAACAAGAAACAGGAATATTAATAATAAAACCAGGAACACAAGTAAACCACCGGCAACCACCAATAACATAACGCAGCCAGTGTATCAATACGGAACGGATCACGGATTCCTCACGCAATCACTTCTCAGTCGGAGTAAAGTTACTACTACTACTAAAGTTACTACTACTACTACTACTACTACTACTAGTACAGCGTAGGCTTTTGAGTTTGTGTTTCCCAGAATCAGCCTCCGGATCGATCTAAAACATCTGGTGGAGCTTCTTATTAGTTACCTTCACATACATACCCACCACTAGTTAGTTATTTATACACGTCGTAAGTTTTTTCTCTCTTTTCTCCTCTGCAACGGCGGTTCGACTTCTCCACCCAACCCAGCGACACCGACAGAAACTTGGTCCTGGCCGCGTAGAACGGTTTCATCGAGATAACCAATACCCCAAAGGTATCCTCTGATCTTCTTGGGTAGATCTCCGCCGCCACCCCGTTTACTTCAACATACATACACTAATAATGAATAATTAATAATACATACAACGGAACCAAACCACCGATGATGGCCCATTATTATTATTATTATTATTCATCTGGCCAGAACCTTGTCTTCTTTGGTTTTGGTCCGAGTTTCTTCTTGTTGTTTGGGCAGATAAATAATGATAAATATCAACTCCTCCCCGCCGTTACGTTACTCCGTACTGTACTCTGGAGTCCAAGTCCAGAGAATTAAATAAATACATCCATCCCACAAAAGTCAAAATAAATAATGAAAAAGAAGAAGCCCAAGTGTGTGGGAAAGTTCCCACATACTACTAACACATCAAATGCAACTCAGCCCAACAACCCGTTCCATTACGCATTATCCTAACTAACGGGGAACAACAACAACGTGGTCGCTGACTTGCCATCATTTATCATCATTTGCCCCTTCGAACCAGACTATAAGTAGAGCAAATCCAACGTACCTGTGAATAGAATTCCGTTGCGAATGAACAAGTAAAGTTTGAGCGGAGCACAGCCTCACCGGGGTTGACTGTCTCCAAGCACTTGACTTGATAGCAATAATAATAAACTATTTAACTAAGCCATTGATCATCCTTACTATCATTTCAAGGAATCAAATGAACTCAAAAACAATGTACATACATGTACACACACATTATTCTCGCCACCTTTACCCAACCACCACTCTCAGAATGAATGATGATAATGGGATTCTTTTATCAGTTGCCATGCCAACATGAACAATGGCAATGGATATATGGAAATAGCAGATAATCTCAAGGAAGTGCGTTGATCAAACTAGGAACAGACTTCTTATAAGTTAGTTATTAGGAGTTAGTTAAACTTATGCAAACAGCAACCCAGCAAAACTGATAGATGATTTATTTACATTGAAATGTTTTCCTTATATTTATCTATTCTGCATATCTCTAGGCATTAATTATTATTATTGTAATTAAAAGTAAAGTATAAAAGAGAAATAAATCCTGTCAACTGATGTGTTTGGTGATATATATATATATATTAAAAATCAAGATACATGTAGTCAAGAGTACCTTTATCATTCAAGTAAAAAATGTACGCAGATACAGACAGGCAGATGAAATTCTCATTTTGCTGGCTGGTTTATGAAGATGTTATTATTTGACTTGACTATCTTAAGGCTGTACATGTATATGTACATGTACACACTTAGATGTCACACTGAAATACAAATGAGGAGATTTAAAAAAAATAAAAATAAAAATAAAAATAAACAGGTAAAAAGAAGAAGAAGCACGAAACAGAATACAATCAGATCCTATACAACATAACCAAATATCCGATGTAGCAATAAAGCCACAAAAAGAAAAATTTGCGCACCGGATTACGGAAACTCCATGAAATCATCACTTATGTAGCCGATGTGGCGGGAATGTGAATAGAATAGTAGGACTCAAGTACAGACTGTACAGGGCCGGTGGAGATTCAGTATCGAGTGACAAAGGAAAAGGATGAGGGGGTTGACTGAGGAGATAGATAGATTTTTTGAGTAAGTTAGTCGGCCTGTTTATTCTGTGGGGGTATGTCGAGGTTTGGGAGTTCATCATCCATGGAAAGGGTAGACAGGAAGTGCGGGAGTACTCTGAGGGAAGTAGAAAGGGGGGGGGGCCGCTTGTGAGATGTGCTTTGTGCTTTTGTCCCCTTCTCCTTTTCACTTTTCAAAATCCCGCAAACCAGCCGCCGATGTAGACTGAGATCATCTCTAGATGAATGCTAAGTCTGGGTTGGAATGATGACCATTGGAATGTCCATCTTATGTGTTAATTCTAAAAATGCAAGGCTGGGGTGGGATATCGATATCAAACATTGAAATGTGGAAGAAATAAAAAAAAAAAAACTGTGTGTGATATTTAAATATACGTGTGAAGCGCACCCCCCCCCCCGTGGCAAGCCATGCCCGTAGGATGAAATGGGCGAACTATGAAAGGTACTGTAGATGTGTGGTATGGTATGGGGATGGGTGGTTGGTGGCTGGGCGGTGGGTGTAACGGGCGATGGTTAAATTCCACGTTTTTCTCATCCTCCGTCCCTTTCTTCTTCCCGCAACCTCAAGCACTGAATCTCGATGTGTCCGTTGGGAAGTATCGTTGAGATCCCGGTAAAGGGGACGTTTTGTTGCTTTGTTTGGATGTTTTAATCGAGTTCAGTGAAAAAGCCTTCCAACTCCATGCCGTTTTAACCAGCCTGAGCGTGCGAACGTCGCTCCCGCAGTAAAATTACTGATTGGAACGGATGTTGGATGTTCCCCCTGCTTTTGATATATATATTTTTATTTTTCACAAGCGTCAAGTTGCTAATCAAAAAATAAATCTTTATGTTAGACCGGTCCAGGACTGGGCGATACACTTCCATGCGAGAGTTTCCCAGTTCTCTTCCGAATCTCCTCCAATAGCGCCTTCTCTTCCGCTCGCACTGCAGCTTCTTCCCGCTCCAGCATTTGCGCACGTGAAGCACTCTCGCGTTTCCGCCGTTCTACTGCCTCCAGACTCGCAAGAAGCCTTTGTATCTCCCTGCTTTCTTCTAGCGAAACATTAAGAGACGGCTCGATCATTGACATCTGCTGTGATGAGAAATTGCTTGTGCCTTGCGGTTGAATTGGGGACACTGGCGGACTCGAGCTTGATACGGGGCTTGTGGTGGGTGGTGAATATGCGAGCGGTATTGCTGCTGGTGCAGGAGTACCCGAAGTGCGAGGGTCATTAGGTTGATGATTTATTACAACGCTAGTGTGGCTCGCACTGGCGGCGGCTTGGTTTCCAACTCGCTGTGGACGGCCGGTCAGGTTGGTATGCGAGTCCATGCCTGCTATATATGGCGTCATGGTTGAATTGGGTGGAGGCAGTGTGGTCCCTCCTGCTCTGCTGGCTTCGACTGCTTCTAGTTCCGCTGCATACCTGTACCTGCTACCTCTGCTAATTTCTGTCCCTGAAATCTCGTGAACCAGTGACTTATTTTCGTGAGCTGCGTTATTTGGTGCCTCTGTGCTGGATGGGGTGGCTTTCTTCCGGCGTCGACGGAGGAAAAAAAACAATGCTATTGCCAGAGCGACAAGTACGAGAGGGACGATAATTACTACTTTTGTACTGGAGTTAAGACCGCCGCTTCCATTGTCGTCGTTTGAGGCATCTGAGCCACTAGGGATGGTATTGGCCTTGGGGCCTGTGGTAGTTGTTCCCGTAGTTAGAGGCTCGGTGGGTGGAGTTTCTGTTGTCGACGCAGCGGCCGATGCAGCTGTCGATGTAGTTATCGGCACAGAGGCGGTGGATGTGCTGGACCTGCTGGTTGTCGTGGTGCTGCTGGTTGTTTCCGTACTGCTGGTCGAAGTAGGTTCAGGAAGCGGGACAAAGTGGGCGGGAGGAATATAAACATCGACCTTGTCACATTCTTCCCTGAGATGACTCCACGCTTCATCAAAGGGCTGCCGGCTGCACTCATCATAGATGCAGTTGTATATCAAAAGAATGAAAGCGTCGCTCCGGCAACAGTCAACATCGGACAGCCATTGGTCGCAAGCATGGTCGTTCACAGCGGTTTGGAAACATTTGCTCTATCAGTTAGTTAGCTAGAGGTGTCAGCGCGAAAAGGAGGTGGTGATGCGTGACTTACCGCGCAATCTGGTATACTTGCTCTTGCACCAGCATAAACGGCAATAAGGACGGTCGCGACAAACGTCTGGCGGACGCTCATTGTGTACTTAGGAAGCGCGTAATGGCTGAAGCGGTGGTGGGAAGCATTCTTCTCTGGTATCACTGGTACTGCTGTCCTGCTGCTCTCCCGATGTTTGGGCTGGGTGTAGGAAGTACAGCATTAGGTGACACAGAAGCCGCAGGCAAAAAGGACAGAAAAGAGCAGCAACGAGCAGCCAATTTCCCCTCTCCCAGCGCCAAGAGGTATATAGTGTTACAATATTGCTCGACAAAAGTTGGTAAATCTGAGCTTCTCATTGCTCAGATATAGAAAGCTCTGGCATGGATGACACCTATTCTTGGAGGGCCTTAGCGCTGTGCGGGCAGCTTCTGTCACAACCCGAGCCGTGACCATCACCGTTAGCATCACCGTTAGCATCCGCAGGTGGTCAGTCCAGGAGCGCCTGGGATTGGCTCTCTATGCGTCGCGGCGGCGGAACCCCGAGGCGAACATTGCTTATTATCGCTGCAGCAGCAAGTAGAAGCGCGAGGTTTATCCCGTTTATCCCGCGTCCTGGCTTGGGTACCCTGTATATTCTGGGAGATTGGATAAACGTAGTTGCAAAATTCCAAGCGAGTACAGAGTAAATACATGTCAAATTAGCCCCTGTTGGAGGCTTGAAAGATGGCTAGTAACTATATTCCAGCTCTGCCAACTCTCGTCCCAGTAGCAATGATGTACACTATCAGTGTGTACAGCATGGAAAGTGTTTTGAAGCATCACTACTAAAAGCAGCATTGTATATCCAGCAATATTTGAAGGAATCCTTGCGTCTATGAAATAAGCCACAAAATAGCGCTCATTAGCAAAACGTCACAAGAGTCAATTATTTGAACCGTGTATAATTGTTTATAGACTCTGTCTACATTTCCATTGAACTGTTCCCTATATGACACTGCCAGAGTGGTAATTCAATGAGGTGTGGACGAGTTGAAACAAATGAAGACACTGCAAATGAGCCAACATCAAAAAGTCCCTCATTTGGGTCCTGAATGTTCTTCTCGTTCATGTATGTACATACATTTACCACAGTGATACTAATTATGATGATTAGTAACTTGAGTAAATACACATATGAGTGGCCCGCATCGAGATCTTTACTCGTTTGTGCGAAACATACAGTACCACAAGGGGCGGAACCGCTGCTGTCCAGAACATCCATTCTGGCATTGAAAGTAGCGTCAAATGTTTGAATATTATGGAATTGCCTGAGAGGGAGGGTTTTTCTTTCTTTCTTGCTTTCTTTTTTTTTTCTCCTCCCTTTAGGTATCGGATATTGTTGTATCAGCAAGACTTGCTTGATGATAACATGCCCAGCTAGATATTGGCATTTGTATCAAACAACAGGACAGTGGGTGGTTCAAAGCAGAACAAAAGCACACGAATATCAAGTTCTCGGAACCTTTCTCTCTTGTTGGCAAGGGTTTCAGAGAAGACATAGATAGAAAAGCTCAAGCAAGAGAATCTTAGGGAGATTTGGTTCGGTAAAACTTCCCTGTCAATGGCAAGCATCTACCCGCCATTGCCAAACTTGTGCCTTCCCACTGGTTTCCAGTAGGGTGGGAGACTCAGATACAATATATATATATACATATATCTATATAAGTAACAACGGCGGGGTCACCGATGATAGCATAATACTCCTTGCCAAAGCATGTTCCGAAACCAAGAGTCATAGAATTCGACTCTACAACAAGTCTCACCGATCCCACGTTTTAGGCAAGCTGTGAAACACGCACATTCGCTCGAGAATTCCACTTCAGAGATGAACCGATAGGCGTGGAAAGCCAGACTATCTGCTGCCACAACTCGAGAAATGTCTGCAGGCGAGCCGGCCGGCCGCTAACGCCTGGTCTTCAGGAGCTTGTGTCATACGACCAGCAGTGAAATATCACAGAATCTCCAGAGGAGTGGCCAAGAGCGCAACCAAAACTTGGCTATCAAGACACGGGTGTGCGACACCCGGTGACCTCTGGGCAGTCTGCGGGAATGGTCACATCTCCGATTGGAAGGGGCCCGACGGAAATACGGTTTCCTCACAAACACACACACACACACACACACACATATATATATATATATGGAGAGAGATAGAGAGATTTTGGGTATGCCAGACAGAGTAGGGTGAACTGCGGTATGTGAAGATTTTGGTGATGCTAGACGATTTGGAGGCTTCGGTTGGCATCCTATTAGCCGAATGGCTGGCTAAGTTGACTTGCCAAACGATGTACGACACGCTCGGTATCAAAAAAAAACCTAGGCGGCAAAGAATATGCTTCCCAGGCGCATTGAATTAAGTTTTTCACCAAGGGCGGGACACGGGACACCTTGTCCAACAAGATAGAGAGAGCTCTCTGTTTTATATTTCTGGATAAGTTTTGCCTCAATCTTTGATACGTGTTCGAGCGATACGCATTTTAGCCATGTCTCTCTCATCCCTGAAGAGCCCGCCTAAACAGTTGCTCATGCAAAGACGAGAGCTAGCCTATACGGCGGCAAACGAGGGGTCAGCTGACCGTGAGGGCCGCAGATAGGGCTGCCAAGGCCAAAGCTTATTTTAACTTTAATTTCTCGCCCACGTGCCGCCTGCAGATGTCCTCTTCGTTTCGTTTTATTTAATTAAAGCTAAAATACATTTGACTCCATTTAAAAATCAATCTCGGCACTCGTTTCCATCTTTTTTAGCCAGTTTTTCTGCAACCCGAGTAAAACATGACAGGATATCTTGGGATGGGTTGGGATCAGAGTTCATTCCGCCGGCTCGTTCCGAAACATTTTCGCACGTACCCGGCTGCAACTGGCGCAAAAGGCGCCGGCCGTAATTCGGTTCACCATGTCACCTTAAACCTCCGATGACGGCAGCGGGATTTCGCAAAAAAAAAAAAAAAAAAAAAAAAAAAAAAAAAAAACTTTTTCGTCCGAGCCATCATTATCTCATTATTATTATTATTTATCGGGAGAGAAGAAAAGTAGCAAAAGCATACCCCGATACCAGAAACCTAGTTCGGTTGGCTCCGTCCCCATCCTTGCCTGCTGGATAACGTACAGTCTGCTGCCCCCCCCCTGTACTGTACTCTGGCACGAGTACTTGGCGATGGATGTTAATGCCGGGACAACCTTTTTTTCGGGTGTTGGAATTGAGCTTTTCTCAAATCCGACGTGGGGGTTAGGTGCCAGTGGTTGGGAAGAGCTACGGTTGATCGACTACTTGAGCCCTTTACTGGTGTATGGGCTGACTTGTATGCCATAGTTGTCAGAAGAAAGCTCTCATTTTGCTGTCTGCCCAATGCACGAACAAACAACGCATGGAACTTTTTGGAGCAAAAGGGAAAATATGGCTGGCGCTCTAGATACGTCAATAACCAAGAACTGATAGGCTCTATAATTGAAAGAAGCTGTTTGATAGTTCGGTATGTGTCCGCTGTGCATTCCCCTTAGCACACAATTGCAACAAATAATCTAAACTATGTAGTTGTCCAGGTATCGCTCCGAAACCTCCTCTGCCATTCCTCAAATTCCTCAGGTATGACAGACAAGTATGGGTGTGATAACAAGCGTACGGAGTAGAGATGGACGGCAAGGTAAGTAAAAAAGCCGTTGACTAACTACTGACCGCTAATAAAGATTAATTTTTAACTTAACCACCCGAGAATCCCCTGTTTGGTTTTTTTTTTTTTTTTTTTTTTTTTTTTTTTTTTTTTTTTTTTTTAAAACACGCTATACCTTGACTTCCTTTCTCCAGGTCCTCGACAAAGCCGTTCTGGGCAGAGGGATCCCTATTCAGTCTCCAAGAAGACACTGGTCTGCAAGGAAACCAGGACTCGCGGGTCGGATCGATATCGGCCCTAGCACAGCTGGCATGGCAGCCCTTTGTCTACATGGCTGATCGTGCGAGTCACGAGTGCCACACCGAATCCTGACGTCGACGCTGGTGCTGGGTTGGGGGAAATTGCCCAGACATGCATGGCACGGATGCAAGAGTTTCGCCCCTCTGCTCGCCGTGGGCATATTGGAAGCTGGAACAATAATACCCTTATCCGCTCGATTTTTCACTGAGGTGGAGCGGCAGCACGCTGTTGAACGGCTTCGCGCCAATAAAACCGGTAACATATTTCGCGAATTCAAGCGGCCGCATGTACGGGCAAGTGGGCGCTGGAGAGAGCCGAAAAGCTATATGTGGATTGCCATGTCGGTGCTGGTTAATATCGGGCGCATCTGTAGCGATCGGGTTTGGGGGGCCGCTAGTCGTGTGTAGCTTTTGGCTTCGACAAATTTCGGGCGTCAGTTTTGAATTATCCCGTTCGGCATTGTTCAGGTAATGGGTCATTCTTTGCAAGAGGGCTGGACCGCACATAGGGCTACATCCTTGCTATCTTCATGATGCGAGTCATTGTTGGAGGGCCACTTCTGTACGTGCTGGACAGAGGACCGACCTTCCCAGCAAGGACCACTTCTAGTGGCCTACATATAATAACGTACTTGAGTTCCTGTTCTCAGGGGAACCCACTTATTGTCTCATAGATCATTGATAACACGGCTGGAACCACCAAGCAATCGGTGATCATGGCCGTTTTATCAGGCAGGTTCATCTGCTGGGCAATATTGTATTTTTGGCCCTCAAATTTTATTTTTTTTCCCACGAGAAAGACGCATCGGCATAGTTATCACCGTGGTCTGCGTGTGGTAATGGGTGTGTTTGCTGCTATGCTGGTGAGCATCGGTATGTAGGTCGTCAACCTGCTGGTGTTAAATGGATTGTAGAGCACAAAGAGGTGGCCCAATGAGGATAAGTTAACAAAGAAGACCTCTCACTTCTTCGAAAGTGGTAACTAAAGATGCTGATGATCATGATAGGATAGCGCACGCGCCTTGACTTGACAGATCGGCAAAATGATGAATTTGTGCGTAATGTAAGTTATCTATTATTGAAAAAGTTGAATTTTTCTTTTCTGGTTAATCCGGCTTTCCTCTAGAAGATGTTTGGTTAGCATATGTAGAGAGCTACCTACCCCCTACCCCCACTTCTCACCGGAAAGCTGATGATTAGGAGTTAGTATATCTGCCGCCGGTCACTTTGCTGACTCGAGGACATACATAAATAATAATAATAATAATAATAATAATAATAATAATAAGCAGCCTTCGGTCTCATTACTCAGTGGTTAATAAACGGTCTCGGGAGTTAGGGCTGGCTGCGTTTTTGGGGAATTAGGGTTAGGGTTAGGTTAGAATGAGGCGACCGCCCGAAAAGCCGCCCGCTAGAGCTGCATTATTTAATTTATACGCCGCCAAAAAAAAGACACAATCTCCGGGTGCAGCCAATGCAATGGGAGCTAGGGTAGAGCGAGCGGACTGACTGGGAACTGACGCCTGTACGCAGTAGTTACTCCGTAGTTAAGGCTAAGTGGGCCATGACATGACTTGATAATAATTGATAATGCCGAGCAAGCGCAAAAGATAAAGATAAGGGAGATCGTGCAATGCGGCTGCATGGGGCTTCTCCTTGGGCTAAGCAAACCTTATGCATAAAAAGATAGCTCGGGATAAGATAAGGCAGTGGGGAGCAGCCGCGTGAAACAACAGCAATATAATAATAATAATAATAATAAGAATAAGAATAAGAATAAGAATAAGAATAAGAATAAGAATAAGAATAAGAATAAGAATAAGAATAATAATAAGAATAATAAGAATAATAATAATAATAATAATAATAAGTATGTACTGTACATGTACTTGTACTCCGTACAGTACATTATAGTTACCCGTGGAGAGTGAGGGTTTGTTTATGTTGCTGCTGGCTCTTATGCTACTTGGAAGCAGAACAGAACCCAGCTGCAATAATGATCGGCTCCAGCGAGCGACTCAGCCAGTGCCCGGCGAGGGTTCCGTCCGTCATCGGAAGTTTCCTGTCAGCTTTCGAGAAGACAAGAGGGGGCCCTGGTCCCAAGCTTTTGCGCCCGACGCCACCGCACCCACCACGAAAAATCAGCTAAGGAGGAGGAATTCCAAGAGGCAGAAGAATAGGAAATCGAGGATGTAGCTGTGGAATTACGGGTAGTTATGTTAGAAGAGAAGCATGCAGCCATCGATATCAGATATCTATCTATCTCTCTCCCCCCCCCAGTAGTATGTAATGTATGTACATATATATATACACTATCAACAAAGGCGCACTTCATGTCTCTCTCTCTCTCTCTCCCCTTTGCTGCTGTCGAGCTAATAAATAATCTCTACGTCATTCCACCCAAGCTCCCGCTCTCCAATGGCTGCTCTTTGCCTTATCTTCCAACGCTACAATATGTTCCCTTCCTTCCTGTATCTTCCGCCCGCCTCCGTTCCCGGCCGGCGCGCATTTTGATAGTTCATTTTAATCCCCCATTCCAGCACCAGCCAGGGACCTAATAGAAATGACCAATTTATATCCGCAAATATTAAATAACTACGGTAGATAACGCCCGTTTTGTCCTTGAATTTTTCCGAGGAGGAGAAGGGGGAAAACAAGGGGGGAAAACAACGGGGACAAACCATAGCTGAATGAAAACTTCTAGATTGGAGTAGAGGAAAAAAAAAAAAAAAAAAAAAAAATTGCCTCTGGTCGATTATTTTAAATTTTTTATTTAATTCTCCCAGTTCCCCTCTTTTCGCTTCTTCTTCTTCTTCTTCTTCTTCTTCTTCCTCTTCTTCATCCTTTCTTCATCCTTTCTTCTTTTCATCTTCAATTTTCGTTAAGCTTCTAGGAGGTTTTCTTGATTGATACCAACCCATCTCAGCTTCTTTCAATACTGTCCTTCACTATTGAATCGACCACCGAAGCCACGACGACGCAGAATATATACACACTATACACAACCTTTGTACAATACCCAACGCACGAATTTGATATTCGTTGTTTGGAAAACCAATTGAATCTAAAAATCTACATTCTTTTTTCCTCAAACCGCTGGGAAAATTAGAGAGGAGAATTTATTATTGTTGAATAATGTCTCATCTCGCTGTTGAGCCGGAGTTCGAGCAGGCCTACAGAGGTGGGTTTTATTTATTTATCTATTCACTTTTTTTTTCTCTCTTCTGTTCTAGCCTCCTCCCTCCATGGGCCGGCTGCCCAGGCCGAGTTTGGGATGTGATGTTCCTGTACAAGAAACAGAGCAAAAAATGGAAATGTACGGGAAAAAAAAAACACAGAAATATGATTTTTTTTTTTTTTTTTTTTTTTGGATTTCGCCACCCTCCAGTTCGGGGACACAACTTGTTGAGCAAGAAATTAATTAAAACAGAAAAAGAGAAGGAAAAAAAAAAAGGCTTTGGAGAGAAAACTAACAAAACACAGTTGAACAAAAGAAAGGAAAGGGCCTGTGCTGACCAGATATAATTGAATTAACAGAGCTGGCCTCTACATTGGAAAACTCCACCCTTTTCGACCAGCATCCAGAATATCGCAGAGCCCTCGCCGTTGCTGCCGTGCCTGAGCGTACCATTCAGTTCCGTGTAACTTGGGAAAATGACAAGGGACAGGTAAGCGAGAAACTCGTTATATACATGTCATGTCGTACACACCCACCCCAATTTAATCGGCACTGTGTCTAATGCTCCGTCGATTCATGCAGCTCGAAGTTAACCGGGGTTACCGGGTTCAATTCAACTCCGCCTTGGGCCCCTACAAGGGAGGCCTCCGGTTTCATCCCACAGGTATTGAAATGACTTTTTCTTTTCTTTTGTCTCCGGTCGGGGACTGTTTAGCGTTTTTGCATCTGGTTATGCTGACGTCAAATCAAAAATAGTGAACATGTCTATCCTGAAATTTTTGGGCTTCGAGCAGATTTTCAAAAATGCTTTGACAGGACGTAAGTTTTTTTTTTCTTCTTCTTCTCATCCATCCATTGCCAAACGGGGCCGGCGGGAAGGCGAAGGGAAAATACATAGCGTTCAAGAAAAGATAAAACTAACATATCATTGTTACTATATTCAGTGAACATGGGCGGCGGCAAAGGAGGCGCCGACTTCGATCCCAAGGGAAAATCAGATAACGAAATCCGAAAATTCTGTTTTGCTTTCATGATGGAACTGAGCAAGCATATCGGCGCTGACGTTGACGTTCCAGCTGGCGACATTGGCGTTTCGGGGCGTGAGATTGGATTCCTGTTCGGTGCATACAAGAGGCAGCGGCATCTTTGGGAGGGTGTGTTGACTGGCAAGGGACTGAGCTGGGGCGGAAGCCACATTCGTCCCGAGGCCACTGGGTATGGTCTGGTTTACGTATGTATATGTACAACCCAGTTCACTCAGAAAAAGGTTTCCAACGGCTCAGGTCAGCTAACCAAAATCTTCCAAAATAGTACGTCCAACATATGATCGAGTATGCCACGGACGGCAAAGAAAGCTTTAAAGGCAAACGTGTCGCGATCTCCGGCTCCGGAAACGTCGCGCAATACGCAGCGCTCAAGGTTATCGAATTTGGCGGCACTGTCTGCTCTCTCAGCGACAGCCGGGGATCGCTAATCGTCCGCGACCACGGGGACAGTATCACCCCAGAAGAAATTTACATGATCCAACAGATCAAAGTCGAACGCAAGCAACTTTCCAGCCTCGCCAACACCGAAGCCTTCCGCGAACGATGCGAATACGTCGAGGGCGAACGACCATGGACACACGTCGGCAAAGTCGACGTCGTCCTGCCCTGTGCCACCCAGAACGAAGTCTCTGGCCCCGAAGCCCAGGCATTGATGGAAGCTGGCGCGAGATATATAGCTGAGGGATCCAATATGGGCTGCACACTCGCTGCTGTCGAGCACTTCGAAGCCAGCCGCCGCTTCCATTCCAAGGGGAAATCCGTCTGGTACGGTCCCGGAAAGGCAGCCAATGCAGGTGGTGTTGCTGTCTCTGGCCTAGAGATGGCGCAGAATGCGCAGCGCCTGACGTGGACGGCTGCTGAGGTTGATGCGAAATTGAAGCAGATTATGAAGGACTGTTTCGAGATCGGCGTTGAGACGGCGAAGAAATACACCTTGCCTGACGAAAGCAAGTTGCCTTCCTTGGTTACGGGGAGCAACATTGCTGGCTTCATGAAGGTTGCAGCCGCGATGAAAGATCAGGGTGATTGGTGGTGAAGAACGGATCTCCTTTCTAATTCATTTTTGCTAAGGGAGGTTTGTTCTCTGTCGCTATTAAGCATCTTGTATTCGGCCTGTTGGTGTGCTAGGGGTTCCTGCGTTTTCTTTTTGGCGTTTTGTGCCAATATTATCTACACATAACTTTTGCCCTGCTTTTTTTTCTCTCTTGTCAGTTGTGTTTCTGGGTGGGATTGATCGTGTCATGCTCTTGTCTAATAGATCTTACGGCAATACGTTTGGGTGGAATAGCTGGTGTCGGATTCTGGATATTATCCTGCGATTTTCTGTTTCTTGCATGGTATCTTGCACGTTTCTTGGGATGTCTGGGTTTTTGGCTTTCGGCTTTGCTCTTTTATGTTCGTGGTTCATGCTCTTTCCATGTACAATGTACATGTACATATACGTGTGCACCTGCGGTTCTGGTTTTTATATTTTTTTTTTTGTTTGGGATCCTGGATGCCGGTTGATGTTAGCGAATGAATGAATGTTAGGTTTATGTTGAGTTTATGACATCGCTTTTCTTATACCAAAAAGGAACATGGGACAACATTGGAGAATAGCTATGATTGCTAAGTTTCGGTGCTCCCGGTGAAATAACATTCTTTAACTTACGAACAACATGGACCCTCACCATGATTACTCCTGCGAACCTGCGTTTCTACGTTTATGCGAGCGCCTGAAACTTGCACTGACGTCACTGCGAATCCCATTTCGAAGCATAAAAGCTTCTACCTCTTAACCCATCCCATAACGTTCGTCTGCTTCATTTTTCAAAACGTCCTTTTCCTCTGTCTTGCCTATTACGACACCAATTCATGGCACCAGGCTCCATAATAGCTGCAGTCTGAGGGGGAATATCTGGACCCTTATATGGGTTTCACTTGGCTTCTACTGAGTTTCGGTGCGGAGAGGCAGTTGGTTCGACAATCCTGTTGCTTCTTTCTCATTCTTCTATCAGTGTCGTATCGAATAACTTACATGCGGAGATTTTAAAAGGCTCATCACTTAAGGTGGCCCTTAGTCATTTTGCACTGATTCAGCCCCCCATACAAAGCTTCGGGAACACTGTGAATTTGAAGCTATTGGTCGAGTACGTCCAGCCTTCATTACGGGTCGCCGGACAATAAACACCCTATCATGAGCTCCTGGGTAATCCGACCCGTGGTCGAACGGCTGATAAAACCATCTGCATTTTTCAGTGACTAGCTGAGACTATTATCTGGAGCGGCCCCTTGCCAATTGATGTGTATCTCACATCTTTTGATATCAGGCTCGTTGTGCACTTGGTGGCGATGTTTGGTAGCTTCACAGAAACATTTCTCTGACGAAATCTCAGAGGGCCTATCTTAGGTTTGAAGCTGAGATTGAGGGTTCATGGAGTTAACGCAAGCCACAAATAGGATGCGCTGGCAGCTGATCCTCAAGCACGCCCTGGTTCAAGGGGTGATTAAAAAAAAGGAAGTGTGAACCACCACCTTCAGGTACTGAGTCGTACCGAAACAGCACAGGCCATTGTAAGGTTGGCGAAAGAAAGTCAGGAGCTGAACTCCATCTCAGATGGTCCAAAAGCAAACCCCGTCCCATGCAGGCTTCTCGCCAATCCAAGACGCTTCAGAATCACAGCCACACTGTGGCGTTTCTCATGCTTCTTCTTGCGGTCCTAGCGTATATTATTCAAGAAGTGATGAATTCCCCATTCTCACCGCTTTAGCTCGTGGCGAAAACTCCTCGGCTATCAGCAGGAATAACAGATTTATCTTGCTCAGCCGTAATACAAACACTCAATGACTGAGCTGAAGAGATTTAGCGATATGGGAATAAGAAACAGAAGCAAACACCGCAGAAATCTGGCTGAAGTTCTGGTACTGGGAAGAATATCTACTCGTGCACTGCTGAACCTCTACCTCGCAGAGTGGTTGGGTCGATCGATCTAGATATCCCTGCTCAGGGGTGATCCTTGACTGTCCGAACCATATTAGCACTTTTATTAATCCTTTCGAGTCTGGAGAAGCTCAAGCTGTTTGCCAACACAACAGGCTAGGTAAAACGATGACGTTGTGCTACGCAGGTACTCTTATTCCACCACTTTGATTATACCTAGCATAGATTTTACCCACTTCTACCTGGAGGTCAAAAAGCACCGCCACAGACCCTGTGGTCGTGGCTTGACAGGGGAAAACAAATATCAGAGGACGCGGAGTACGGAGTAGTGTTCCGGGTTATGCAGTACGGACGTACCGTACACAGTAGTACGGAGGCTCCTGGGAAAAGTTTTGACTTGCGCTAAGAATTTAAACTGAAATGCTGATACTAGCATTAAGTATTGCCATTCCATCTCTTAATTATTAACCGTGCCATGCTTACTCACTCTCTGTAGTGAGTGTGCCACAGTGTACAGAAAACCACATCATATAGAAAATATTTTCAATATCTTCATTCTTCATCTTCAAATAATCATCATTAATTATAATCATGTCTAAATCTTCTAATTACACTGAGGAGTAGTTGTAAAGAGCTGTTAATACATATAAAAGTAATTTAAAATTAAAAATCACATCTCTGTCATAAGAATTCAAAGTCTTATATATCATCTTATATGAGAGAATCAATGAGAAGAAATCAAGAACTATGAGAGTTTCACTGAATCAAGTATTGAATAACAGTCAGAAAGAGATAATTAAGATATGAATTCATCAGTTGAATATTAATTTTTACTTATTTATTATTAAGTATATCAAAGCTGCTGTGAACTGTATATTAAAATAGTATTATATAGATTCAGAGACTGCATCTCTCATAGTAAGTAAGATAAAATATCTTAATACACATGAGTCTCTGTGTACAAAGACATTGCAGAGCTAAGCTCAAAACAGAAGACTCTGCAAGATTGATTTTACAGCTTATTAATAAAAGAGATAGAACTGTAACTACAGTGAAAGCATATCTCTAAAGATGAAATAAGATTAACTTAAGAATGAGTTAAATAATAATATAGATAATTAATGAAAGACTGAAGAGAGATCTATAGAACTGAGAAATGAATTAATTATTAAATATAATAACTGCAGCTGTTTTCTTAATTAAGTTAAGAATAAAGTTAATAAGAGATATTCTTTATAATATTTAATAATATAGTAAACTCTTTGAATAATAGTTTTCTTTTTATAGACTACTGTTAATAAAGATATATCAGAACTATGAATCTTATAGTAATAAAACTTAATCTCAGATAATATATCTATTTTAATAGACTATTTACAGACTGTAAGAAATCTTACTTCTTACAGATTCTTTATCTCTATTTTCTATCTCTTATATAATTAATAGAGTTAGTAGCTCTTGACTACACTGTCTATACATAACTATATAGACTGAAGTTCATGAATACTATTTATAACTCAGCTTAAATACTATTATATATTTAACTTCTATATTTTATCTTTCTATCATGAATACTTTTAGTAGTTAATAGTATATATTATATTAAGCTGTAAATATCTGAATAATTGTCTGTAAGCACTTATTTTTACACAGACTTAAGAGACTACTGTTAATTATATAAAGTGTTAATATATCTAGAATAATAGAGAGAGTTTAGACTTATTTATCATAGAATCTATAACTGTAGAAGAATCTGATTTTACTGTATATATTTATTTACAGTTCTACACAGTGTAAAGAGATAATCAGTGATAGAAAAGATATAATGAGAGAAGATTATAATACCTGAGTTCTCTGAGTGTAGTATTGAAGACAGACAGCTGTAGAAGTAGTAGAATACTGTAAAGAAATGAATTAATCAAGAGACTGATTTTATAAGCAGTGAACACAGGCTTTTAACGCCCCGGTGGCCGAATGGTTAATGCGGCCACCTGATAGCGCCTTGATGTGGGAAACCAAGACACGTGAGTTCAAAACCCGCAGAGAATACATTAAATCTGAAACTCAAGCACCTCAGATTTCTAATAAATACAGAGGTGTATAAATCACTTCAATGAATTGCTCTATGTTTCTGAGCTGAGAAGTTATTATTGCATGTATTTAATTGTCACTTCTTTGTATTTTCCTATGTTCTTATTATCTTAATATGATTTTAACACCTGTATTTCCTTCTGTATAACTAATACTTGACCTGTATTTAACATTATACAAGGACTTATTATAAGCTCTGCTTGTATATAAGTATAATAAAAGAATAATAATAATAATAATAATAATAATAACAGGCTTTTAACACATTATTCATTCTTGAGAATCTATGAGAGATGATTAATCAGATGTATTATCTATTTAAGAATTTATACAGAGTAGATTGTTAATCAGATGTATTATCTATTCAAGAATCTATACAGAGTAGATAATATAATAGTGTAATGTTACAGAATTATACTTTACTTAATTCTATATCAATCAGTGAGCTGTATTCATGTCAAGAACTTTAAAAAGAAAATTCTTCACTTTTAATAATTAGAGTTTTCATTATATATTTGCTTCACTTCACTCTGTAAATAAATATATTAATTCATTAAATATCTATCAGATTATAAATAAGTTAAGTAAAAACTTATAAATTTAAAATAAGTATCTTATAAGAATATAAGCTTTATTATTAATTAATTTAATTAATATAAAGCGATCTTTAATTAATATCAATTTTTTCACTGTAATATCTATAACTTTAATAAGATTGAATTTTAAGAAGAAGAAGAATATAAACAGTAAGTTATAATCATCTTTAAAGATATAAATTTTATTATACAGTTATTATACTTCTGCAGATTAATAACAGTGATAAAGTATATTAATACAGATAATATAGTATTAAATTCATTAATTATAATAAAATTAAAAGTTTATTTAAAGAATTAATATATATACTTTAACTTATTTAATAACTATATTATTACTGTATCTGAGTCTGACTTTATAAATAATAAGATTGAATTTAAATAAATCAAGCAGTTTAATAAGATGATAAAAAAGTATTAAATAAGCAGTTATTAACTATTATTAATGAATAATTATAATTCTTATCTTATAGAAGAATTCATTTAATATTATAATCTTTATAAGATTATTCTATTCAGATTCTTATCTTATATAAGTTATATTCTATAATCTCTTAATAATATATCTTTTCAGCAGTATAAGTATTATTATATAAAGACAGTTAATAAAACTATTTACTATAAATATAAGTAGTATAATAATAGATAATTTCTTACTAATCTGAAGAGTGTCTGACTATAAGTATTTAAATTTACTACTGTAAAAGCTGACTTTACTGACTATGAAATGTATTCAGTTAATTATAATATAATTCTTAATTAATTAAGACCTCTTATTATTAATAATGTCTCAGATCTTAACATATATAATAATGATAATAATATATATAATCACTTTATCTCATCATCTGCAGATTAATTATTAACTATCTTCTTATAATTAATCTTTTTAGAGATAGTTGTAAAACTATATTACTAAATTAATACAGTAGTCAAGATCTTAAAAGATATAAAAAATACTCTTATATCTAATTTAATAAGATAGTTAAATAAGATTTTCAAGAGTAGTATAATCTAGATGAAATTGAATATACACTGTGAGAATAAACTTACAGATTATTTTTAAATAAATAGATATCAGATTATTAAATTCTTCTACAGATAGATATAAGTAGATGAAGTTCTTACTATTAAGAATGCTAATCACAAGATTACAATCTGTAGAGTAGATAAGATGAAAAAGATATTTAATAAAACTCTTTAATTATTTAAAATCAAATCTATAAAATCTACAGTCACTTAATCATAATAAGATAATTTTATAGAATTTTAATTTACAGTGAATTCTACATCTTCTAATGAGTATATAGATAATCTTTATATTATAGATAGATGTAGTGATAATTATTAAGAGCCTATTCAGTGCGTCTGTGTGTACTTGTTTTTTTTGTACAGATCTTCACTTTTTTTAAAAAGTACAGTCTCAATATCATGACTGTTCAGTGAGCAGAGTGTCTGTACTAATAATACAGCTGCTTTTTACAAAGTACAGATGAAAATGATCAGATGTTTAATGAATTGAGCAGTCATACTTGCATCTCTTGCCAAGATCTTATGAATAAGCAGTATTTAACTTCAACAGTGTGTGATAGTGTAGAATAGCACTTTTAGAGACAATATAGTGTAGAATAGTGTAGAATAGTATTCATAGTGAAGATAGTTAACTAATATTGATTAGAAGAAAGCTCATAAAAACATGTTCTTTTTGAATGAAGTTCAGAGTCAGTTCAAAAAGAATGTGTTTTTATGAGCTTTCTTTCTCCATCTCACAACGCCGGCTTGCTACTAATAATTGGTAAATATACTATTTTTAATGAGATTCACTATTGCGTTCAAAAAGTACGGACGCACCGAACAGGCCCTAATTAATTTTTAAAGATTACTATATTTAAAATATTTTCTTTACAGTGTGGTTTTTCATATGCTGTGACACACTCACTACAGAGAGTGAGTAAGCATGGCACGGTTAAAGAATAGGGAGTTTCAGAGGGCTTATAGAGACTTCAATCCCAGAGCCTGGAGATTAAATACACTAGTAATCATATTTCAGATAAATTATTAGTGTGAGACAAAACTTTTCGCACTGACCTCCGTACTGAGACTCTGAGAGGCGAAATATGCAACTCAACAAACCCGCTTAGCGTTTACGCTGCTTGCAGTGTGATTGCTCCATCTCGCGTGAAGCAATGACGTTGAATAGTTCACAGTTTGATTGACCGCTAATGCAAGTTTTCGGCTAGTTTGGTCGTTAGTTTCGCACTATTGCTAATGGAAAATGTGTTGTTTCCTTTTCGGTCATGGCGCCAGTCCTTTTGTTGCGCATCGTGCTCCGTAAGCAGATGAAACTGAAAGGAAAGAGATGTGACGGTGAGAGACTCATCGAGAATATGTCATGAAAGAGGCGTTAGAAAGCAGACATACTTCTTACAAGTTCAGAAAGCAGAAATGTAGTTACTAACTTACTAGTATAATAAGTATAATAAAATATAGTAAAAAAAAAATTAATACATATAAATTTAAGATAAAATAAGATAGATATATTTAAATAATAACTAAATAATTTTAGAGAAATCATGAATACTTTGAATTTTTTATAATATTGTATTAATTTTTAAAGAGACTTAGAAAAACTTTGTTTTTTACAAGTAATATATCTATTATAATAATCAAAATTGAAAGACTTCTATAAAGAGTGAAAACATCTACTCAGTAATCTTGCAATTTTACAGTTTAATAGTTTAATACAAGCTATACGTGATTGCTATTACATTTATAAAAAATACAGTATAATAATATCTCAATTCGTAATTAGTTAGAATGTATTAACTAGTCTGAAAAAGATACTATTGAGCTTAAATATAAGTTAGTAAGACTAGTAATTAAGTCTATTATAATTAATACTATCAATTCTTTATTTTTAATTTTATAAAGCTTAAAGTAGAGAGTTAATATTAATTTTATATTTAAAAGTTTCAGATTTAATACTCAATTAATGTATTTCTCTTTGTAATAAAATACTTTATAATATATAATTTATAGAAGTTTTGATAAAAAAAGCTTATAATATATAT